CACACTCTCTCACACTCTCTCACACTCTCTCACACTCTCTCACACTCTCTCACACACACACAAGGCACAGACACAAAGCTCGGCGGAAAACCCGCTGCAGCTCCCACGAGAGAGATACCTGGCGTCCAGCAGGAGGGAGAGGGCGGCGAGAAGTCCACACCAGCAGGCGCTCACCATCTCTTCCCAGACCACCTGGGTCCCTGCAACACAGGGACAGGGTCGGGCCCCACTTTCATTTCTCGAAAACACAGAGCAAGAAGAGTTACAAACCAGAGGAGGTCAGTCGGCCCATCAGGCCCGTTCAGATAACTATCAAATCTTGAAAGCAAACAAGGCATTTTTTTCAATATCATCGCGGGGTAGCTTGTTCCATACTTCCCAAACTCTCAGGGTAAAGAAGTGCCTTTTGGTTTTAAATACACTTCCCTGTACTGTAGTTTCCACTTACATGTCAACTTAATGTAAAGACTTTTTTTCTGCATTTTACTACATGGAAAAACTACCAGCAAGGGCGGCATTGGTGGCACGGTGGTTTGAATTGCTGCCTCGCAGAGCTGCAGCCCTGGCTTCAAGTCCAGATGTGGGGTGCTATCTGTGTGGAGTTTGCATGCTCTCCCCATATTTGTGGGAGTTTTCTCCGGGTGCTCCAGTTTCCTCTCACAGTCCACAGACATGCTAGTAGGTTAACTGACTTCTGGGAACATCGTCCCTGGTGTGAGTGTGTGTTTATGTCTGTCTGCCCTGTGATGGACTGGCATCCTGTCCAGAGTGTACCCTAACTCGCACCCATTGCATGTTGGGATAGGCTACAGCTCTCCCGCAACCCTGAATTGGAAGAAGCAGTTAGAAAACAGACAGATGGATAGTTGTCTGCTACGCTGTGTCTGTGTGTTGGCCCTGCAATGGACTGGCATCCCATCCAGGGTGTATCCTGCCATGTGCCTGCTGCCTGCCAGGACAGGCTCTGTCTCCCCCGCGTCCCTGAATTGGGTAGAAGCAGTTAGAAAATGGATGGATGAACTACCAGTAAGTCCCAATTAATTTAACAAATTTTGACTATTTTTTTAAGATGAGTGTAAATTAAAAAAAATCCCTTTCGAGATATTTCGCATGCAACACATGCAAAAACCATTAGAGGGCACCCAAGTGAGTCATGTAGCATTCAGGTGGACATACTGTAAGGATTCTTGGGATTTCTCAAGTACATACTTCTTTTCCAGACACAATTACTGTGTTGTGTTGATCCTAAAGTTGATCCTAGTATAAATAATTCAAGGCCACCTGGGTTTTTGGACGATCCCCATAAATCATTGCAAATTGTCATTTGTGAGAAGTGTATAGAACTATTTTGTGCTCAGCTAATCTCTTTCTGGATATGGAGAAAGACAAGTTAAATAAGTGAAAGAATAAAATGTGTGTTGAACACAACTGAGGATGATGGGTCAGTGTCCTCTGGGGTGGTCTTGTTTTCAAATCAGGCAGCTCACAAAAACGTATATTTTCTATTAACGGAGGATCACATCAAAACAGATACACATACAGCACTTTCCTTCAGTAAAAATATACTTAAAGCACATGTATCTTACATCTTCTTTTAGGGATCAATTTGGAATAACAATCACAAGCTACAAAATGGGACAGTAAAACTCTCTCCAGCAGTTGCAGATACATTGCTGCCTCAGCATAAAGAAATTCATGAATTTTAGAAGCATTTCATTGCTCATAAGCATTTCCTTGAACTCGTGCATATGACAAACAAAACGAACTGAACTTTTCTCTAATCTGCTCCAGAATGCGCACTTCCTGGAAGGCTTGCTGATATTAATAAATATTTAGCTGCATGTAAGGAAAAACTAAATCTATGTAATAGAAATATCTTTTATAACACTTCTGTAGCAGTTACACTCAATATTGAGGCTAAAAAAAAAAACAGCTAATCGCAGGGAGAACTAAATTAGCTGTAGAAACCCGACTTAAATGGATTTTAAGCAATTTAACAAATAACTAAAAGCTGTAAAAGAAATAAACTGAAATAAATAAACATAATCAGGAATAGCTACTCTATCACGATTGCTTCTAAAGATCCATTCATGTTAACAATAGACAGTGACAGGAGCTGTACTCAAACTATAAAACTTCCTGCAGATCTGTCCGGATTTAGATCGCCACGCCAGAGACACCTTGTGTGTGTCCTCTTGTGTTCTCTGGAAAATGGCCTTTTTTCGTCACCCTGCACAGCACTGAGGGAAGAAGAGCCGTGAAGTCGCCGCTCAAAAGAGCAAACGGCTTCGAACCTGAACCTGGTGTCTTTGTGCGACTTCAGTGTGGCTCTCGACTTGTGTCAGCTTGTCTCCATTTTACTTGGGCTTTGGAACGTCAAAAAGATTAAAGACAAGCTCCTAATTCATTAATGCATCAACGTCACGAGAGGTGGTATCGATATGGAGTTTCATCTGACTTAAAGGGGAACTGCAGTCTCAATTTCTCAGTCCGGTTATTTTCTCTGTAACAAAATTAATTAATTGACATTATAGAAAAATGTCCTAAATTTCAAATTAAACATGGAATTGTGAACTTTGTGTAAGTCGCCATGTTGACGCAACTCGCATTCAAGTTCCCATGAATTAGCCCTTCCCGCTCACTAGTCACCATCCTGACTAATGTAATGTACAAGCGAATAAGTATAGGTCGTCCAGCACACACTTCAAACACATCTGAAGCGAATGGCTTCAAAGAAACAAAATGGTGAAAACTACGCACCGGACTCCTGCTCGCCAGGCTGCGCCTGCCGCTCCGGAGGCTGTTTCTGGGGGGCCGTTGCCTCCGCGGCCCCGCGCCCGGCCTCCGCCTCCTCCTTTCCCAGCTCCCTCTCGATCATGGAGGTGATGCCTCGCACCAAGTCCAGCAGGCAGGTGAAGGCCACGGACATCGCGTAGCCTTCCGGGATCGACGGCGGCTCCACCTTGTCGAGCATTTCCAAGCTAGAAGGGAAAAAGCCGCGAAATAAACTTTCAGCGATGCGAACCACAACAGGAACAAACCGGGAGACTTTGTTTTCTTTCCCTGCACCCAAAACTACCCTCCATGACTGCGCATAAAGAAACCTGAGGTATCTCCAGTACCTATGTTTGTCCTGCAAGGAGTTGAAAACTGCATTCTTCTACTGAAGCAACGTCTGCCATGCTCTTACTAAGCTACAGCACAATAAAGCCAAGCCCAGCTGTGACTGCTGTACCCCTCTCTAATTACAGCTACCAGAGTTGAATAAGTAAGTTGACAGGTCTCAGTTCTCATCACACTAAGTACTTCAGATATTGTCATTTATTTTAGTCAGATGTAACAGACAAATATCCCATCTATCCGTTTTCTAACCGATACTTTCAATTCGGTGTCATGGGGGAATGGTTAGACCCTGGACAGGACACCAGTCCACACACAGACACAGACATACACACATTTACCCCAGGGTCAGTTTCCCGAGAAGCCAATTCATGTGCCAGTATTTGGACTTTGCTCTGGGTGGAAACCCACATGAACACACAAGGAAGGAGAACATTCAAACTCCACACAGACAGCACCCCACGAATTGAACCCAGAGGCCTCAACGCTGCGAGGCAGCAGTACTAACCAATGCGCCACCATGCTGTGCCAGACAGGTATCATTGGATCGATTCGTTTTATTTTTTCCACACAGTTAATATCACCACACATGACTCACATGTAGATTCATAATAATAAATAATAATAATAATAGTAATTGCTTACACTTATATAGCACTTTTCTAGACACTCCAGTCAAAGCGCTTCAGAGGTAATGGGGACTCCCCTCCACCACCACCAATGTGCAGCCGCACCTGGATGATGCGACAGCAGCCATAGTGCGCCAGTACTCTCCCCACATACCAGCTCTCAGTGGGGAGGAGAGCAGAATGAAGCCAATTCACAGATGGGGATCATTAGGAGGCCATGATTTGTAAGGGCCAATGGGAAATTTGGCCAGTACGCGCCAGTTACACCCCTACTCTTTTCGAGAAACGCCCTGGGATTTTTAATGACCACACAGAGTCAGGACCACAGTTTCACGTCTCATCCGAAGGATGACACCTTTTTCCAGTATAGCGTCCCCGTCACTATACTGGGGCATTAGAACCCACACAGACCACAGAGTGAGCGCCCCCTGCTGGCACCACTAACACCTCTTCCAGCAGCAACCTTAGTTTTCCCAGGAGGTGTCCCATCCAGGTACTGACCAGGCTCACACCTACTTAGCTTCAGTGGGCTGCCTGTTGTGAGTTGCAGGGTGATACGGCTGCTGGCTTCAAAAGAGCTCACTGTTGGCAGCAGCAGGGGGAATTTGTTATTGATCACATGACTTCCTAACACGCACATTTGGCAAACTAGCTCTGAATTGAGAACCATGATCAGAGTTGTTGCTGGCATTAGGGACAGATCAAATCTGCAATAAGGCACTGCATTCAAAATATCCCTCACTTTTATAAAAATGAACACTATTACCTTCAGGTTGATGCAATACATTAATATAAAAAAACTGAAACATAAATCAAGAAGATTACAGTCTCAATGGTGAAACAGGACTCTTTATACCATCTACTGCCCTCCCACTTAGCTTGTAAGTGGGTTGGCTGAGCTAACGAAGCTAGGAGGATAGGACTCCCCTTGGGCTGGTATTTACAGTTGTGTGAAAAAGTGTTTGCCCCCTTCCTGATTTCTTATTTTTTTGCATGTTTGTCACACTGAAATGTTTCAGATCATCAAACAAATTGAAATATTAGACAAAGATAACACAAGTAAACACAAAATGCAGTTTTTAAATGAAGGTTTTTATTATTAAGGGGGAAAAAATCCAAACTTACATGGCCCTGTGTGAAAAAGTGATTGCCCTCCCTGTTAAAACATCTTTGGAAAGCTGAGTTCAATTTCTCTAGCTACACCCAGGCCTGATTACTGCCACACCTGTTCTCAATCAAGAAATCACTTAAATAGGACCTGAAGTAGACCAAAAGATCCTCAAAAGCTAGACATCATGCTGCGATCCAAACAAATTCAGGAACAAATAAACACTTTTTCACACCACTGTACCTGACCTCACTTCAGTGACCTTCCACTCAGCCCACATCAATTACTCTGTCCACACATCACAACTAACCAACGTCCTTACTTTCTGTGAGTCACCCTGCAGGCATCATAAGAGGGACTTGAGCAACCAAAGTGAAAGCCGTATGTGAAGCAGGGCTCTTAGTCTAATATAATTCATATCATGCTGCTATGTGATTATTTTAGCTTCATGTAAAATAATATAAATATGTATGCAATACAACATACAGCTCAAATAAAAGATATGATAAGGTGCTAGTTGAACAAAAAAAAAAAGTCAGGACCAGTATTAGAGGCTCAAGTCAGAAATGTGAAACGATTTAAATATGAGCTACACCATGCACAGAGCTTCAATACAGTGTGAAAACTTAGGAAATAAGCCCCACCCTCTTCCACTTACACAAGCACCCAGATTTATTTTTCTATATGAAGAAAAAGGCTGTGTGCCCAAGTAAACTATCCAAACTTGTGTGATATTTTGGGATTTGAAATGAACATTTTTTTACGGAAGCTTATTTGCACCAAGGAAAAAAAAATCTCATTTAATTGCAATAATATCTCGTATAATTTTTTGCATTTATGTCCGTGGTGCTAATAGATATCGCTACATTTTCGCACTAATATAACTCAAATATAATTCAAAATTGGGCTCCAGAAAGTGTGAACAATCAAAACTGGCTACAGGAAAGCATGAACAGGAGATCTAAGCAATGGTTATTATTTTAGGCCATTTGACCTTCAGGCTGTTTCTACAGGTTGCCTGAGAGAGGTTGCACAGATTTTAATGACTCAGTTAGACAAGCTCCTAACTCATTCATTCATTAATGAATTCATTAGGGCAAAGGAAAGTTCCCTTCAAACATGTTCTCAAAGAGATGCATGAATGTCATAAGAGGTGATATCGATATGCGGCTGTAGTCTCATCTCACTAAAAGAGGAACTGCAGACACAATTTCTCAGACCGGTTATTAAATATCTGTAACAAAATAAATTCATCGACGTTATAGAAAAAAATTTACAAATTTGGAATTAAGCACGGAATTGCGAACTTTGTGTAAGTCGCCACGTTGTTGGAAACTCGCATTCGAGTTCCCATGAATTGCGACAGGATGCAGCCCTTCCTGCTCACTAGTCCCCTTAATGAGTAATGTAATGCGATGTACGAGCGAATAAGTACAGGTAAGTACTGCAGACCTTTCAGCACAGAAATGTTTCAACGTGATCTGCATGCGGACTAAACAAGTAGTATTTGTCAGCAAAACCACCTTAAAATCGAAAGTAATATTTTAATGGATAAAAAGAGCTGTATTCACAAGCCTTCTTGTTAACAGTGTCACAGAGCCGCTTCACCTCACCTGCAGTTTTGTTGCCTCGTTCTGAATCGCAGAAGATGGCACTGCGCGTACCTGCACATTTTCGGCTATTTTGTGATGTAAATTGGAGGTTTTACAAGTTACTGTGTACATTTGACTTTTACTGTAGTTTGGCATTATTTTGTCAATGCTGACTCTTTCTAACCCCTGAAATATGAAAATAGCATTGCAGTTGCCCTTTAAACCCTGATGATGGTCTGACCACCATTGTGTTCTCAAAAGTCACACTAAGGGTCTGGACAAAGCTATTCATGCATGTTGTTGAAGTAGATACCTCACAGGGTGCCATATTGAGCTAACTCTATCAACAGTCAGAGGAAGGGGTCTGATCTCTTCTCTATATGACGTGCTAATGAATACAGCTCTTGCCAGCAGCCATATCACCCTGCAACTCACAACAGGCAGCCCACTGAAGCTAAGCAGGTGTGAGCCTGGTCAGTACCTGGATGAGAGACCTCCTGGGAAAAACTAAGATTGCTGCTGGAAGAGGTGTTAGTGGGGCCAGCAGGGGTCCATGTGGTCCTAATGCCCTAATGACGGGGACACTATACTGTAAAAAGGCGCCGTCCTTCGGCTGAGACGTAAAACCGAGGTCCTGACTCTCTGTGGTCCTTAAAAATTCCAGGGCGTTTCTCGAAAATAGTAGAGGTGTAACCCCCGTGTCCTGGCCAAATTTCCCATTGGCCCTTACCAATCATGGCCACCTAATAATCCCCATCTATGAATTGGCTTCATTACTCTGCTCTCCTCCCCACTAATAGCTGATGTGTGGTGAGCGTTCTGGCGTACTATGGCTGCCGTCGCATCATCCAGGTGGTGGAGGGGCGTCCCCATTACCTGTAAAGCGCGTTGAGATGTGTCCAGAAGCTATATAATGTCAATCTTTAATCAATAGCTTCACAGTTATACTTTGATGGGATAAAACATGAAACAAGACAAATGGTGGTCCTGATCAAGACATTCATCCATATTCAAATGCCCCATATTCAATTCGCACTTCCCCTTTAAGGTCTAGAATCCGAATATCAGATGTATGTGGAACGGGCCTGCGCAGGTTCTTGGGCATACTTACTATGTGGCTTTGGCGCTGCCCTGCACGCTAATCGTCATGAGAGGTATCCAGGTCCCCCTGTACTCAAAGGCAGCTTGTGGCATCACCCCTCCGCTCACCCCAGCCCCTCCAGGACCTCCCTGAGGAACTGGCTGGCCTCCGGACCCCGAACCACCTGCAGAGGACATCCGCCTTAATGACAGATCGCTCGGCAACGCCACACCACAAACAAAAAAAAAAACCGGCGCATTCACAAGGACTTCTGGTTACTCGGTTTTTATCCGCCCCAGCGTCTGTATTGCTCACTGAATTTATTTTTGCTGTCGGAATAAGAATTAGTCTCCAACAGCAGCCAATTTTTTTTTGTGTGTTCCTGCAACTGACAACGACAAAATCAAGAATCACAGTCTAGTACGTGTTCTGTGTAAATAAATCAATATCGGGACGTTCCCACAATGTACCGAGAAGGGAGACATTACGGATGAGAGCTGAGAGGCAGGAGATGAAGTATTAGTCATATATTTTGACATAAAAGGAGAAATAAAAAACATCTATCGCACACTCAGTCGCATGTAAGTTAAAACTGGAAAACTGTTTCTGTAAGTAGCAGGGGTGGAAGAACACTGACCTGTTGGTGTGTTGACAGTAGCTGGGATTCCTGTGCTAGGCACAATAAAGAGAGACTGGATGAAGGAACCCAAGGCGTTGACGATGTCTCTGAAGACCTTAGTGGAGTGCTGCTTCATGTCGTACGATTGACAGAATGATCTGTGCATGTCAAGAGAAATGCATGTCAAATACAAACACAGGAACTGTAGCACAGTTACAGTCAGGTACTTTTCCAACAGGTGGCCAAGGAGATAGAGATGAGAGTGGCTTCTGAACTACAAGTCCCAGAATTCTTAGAGCACAGAGGAGGAAACAGGAACCAGATGAACAGACACAAACGATCAGCACAGACAGGAAAGTCAATTAACAAAAGCTGGGACTAGGGCACCAGGTCTACCACAAGGACTTAGATAGTAAGAAAAAATAGATGTTTAAAATTGACTGGTTTGGTTTCGAGGAGAACCTGAACTAGATTTTAACCAAAGCCCACAAAAGACCTCCATAAAGGTCTCTGGTTCAGTTTTGCTTTGTTCGACACATACTGCTAAACAGCTGAAGTTTTTGGGGACAGGTTACAAAGACAGCCAGAGCTGTAACCCAGGACAAATTAATCCTGGTCCTGTTGAACTGGTTTATCTGTAGGTTTTTCATTCCACCTCAGATCTTAACCAGCTAAACCAGCCAGTTACAAGTTTACTGGATAAATTGTAGACCTCTTCAGGTGCCTCTGCTTTAAAGACTTTAAAAACCCGTCCTTCTGGGATTTCACTATCAATAAAATTATTTCAAAGTCAGAGGCATCAAAAAGTCACAATACGAAGACAAACAGCTGTCAGGAGACTATGCAACATAGACTACAACATAGAATATGCAACATAGACCATTCCACAGTTGTGAAAACATTTTAAGAAGATGTATTGAGATAAGCCCCCAAAACAGGTATTTTACAGCTTTCTTTTCTTTACAAATCTGGATGCCAGCTTAAAACCGAAATTCAACCTGTCTAACGACACTGGCTGTAAGGGTCTGATGATGTTTTATTCAGATACGTGGAGCTTTTCTTCCTATGCTCCAGAATGCTGCAGAGAGAAGCTGAGGAGTATGCTTAGACTTTTAGCAACCACAATGAGACTTTCTAAATGCACACCTATTTATCTACTCAACTTCAGCAGTTAGTAGGATAGTAACTTGATATTGGAGAATTCTCTTCAAATTGTCAATTATCTCATCCATAGTTACACCTAACAAGCAGCGGACGCAAGATGATTAGTCAAGAAACTAGTCCCTTGCGTCTGATTGTTTCTGAACATGTACTTCACCATATCTTCACACAGTCTTCCAACCATAATCGTTTTTTCCCCGAAACGGAGGAGAAATGGTTTCGTGTGGGGTTCGGCAGGGACATGATGGTGAAGTGCAGTTCGAAACAAAATGCTGTCAAACTGAAATCTGTATTCCCGCAATGTTTTTTGAAGGAAATTACCGGAAGAGGCGAGTTAGGAGGTCCTATAATAAACTATTCTGCTTCTTCTTGCATAGCCTCCATATGCCTCCTGAAACACCTCCATGCTTTCATTCTGTTTCAGTCGTAAGTGTCAGGCAGGGACAGTAAGTAATGCAAGTTACCGTAACAAATGGGGCTGCACACAGAGTCTGTGTATAGATTCGACTGCGACAGCCCGAAGCCACTGTGGTTTCTCTCCATCCAAAAACTTCACCAGCAGAGACAGGAAAATCTCGCACTCCGTGACCTGTCAGGCAGAACAACCAAACTACTAGAACATCTGCTGAGGTTCATAACTAATTACTGCGACACGCGACCCTCACACGTCGACAAATGCACCTGCCTCTTCTGACAACGTTGAAATGATACCACCTCAGGTCTATTTCAAGTCATTTTCAACTAACTCTTAAGTATGAGTATTTCCCCCAAAAACACTACTTTACTGCTTCAAATATTAGGGACCCCTAAATCTGAAAAAGTTAGTTTTGTACGTCAGAAATGATACTTCTTTCATGAGGTATTTGAGTAAAAAAAAAATGTGCCAGCCATTCTGACATTACTCAGGCCTTTACTAGAAACTGTGGCATTGGCTTATAATGAATATTAGCAAATTTGCATGAGATTTTTTAAAAGAAAGTCAATAGGTTTATTCCATGCTGAAAAGAGAAGAGAGAAAGCACAACGTTTCGCCTTCCTCTTCTCTTTTCAGCATGGAATAAACCTATTACTTGATCCTTTGCAGCCTATGCATTCAGACACAGCTACCCACCTGAACTACTTATTTTTTAAAAGCCTCAGAAGTGCCTACTGAATGAATATCGTTGGCATCCAGCGCCTACTGAATGAATATCGTTGGTATCCAGGCTGCCGAATGGAAACGGTTTCTGTATAATTCAGCAATGTGTGGCTCTCAGTCGGACAGGCCGAACACAAACTCACCAGCAGGCTGTAGAAGTGCTTGATCAGAACTGACACTACTCGCAGGAGACGCATACAAATGGGGAAGTAAGGCTTTTCCACCGGAGCTGGAGAGGCTGTGGTGTTGCTCCCCTGTCTGAATTTAATGTTGGGAGAGAAGAGTTTAATCACCAGTGGGCACACTCTCTCCTTCAAGAGGAAGCTGAATTCCTGATGCTGAAAGAGATGAGAAAAAGACAATTCGGTTTCAGAGGGCAATCCTGGCGAATTCGCAGAGCGTTAAATTATACTGATCTAAAAGTTTCCAGATTTATCCAGATGCACAGAGACTTGTATGTATACAAAACCTGAAGAAGGCTCCACAGCTGAAACATTGTGTTTTTCTTTTCCTTTCAGCAATAAACCTTTACCTGTTCCTTTACAGCCTGGGCATGCTGACAAAGCTACCTACCCAAACCTCTACAGTCGTTTTCTGCTGCGACCCACTGTAACTTCCACTACATCTTTTTCTAGATCTCTTCATTCCTTCTCCTCCTCCCTGGACTCCTTGCCTCCTTATCTCACCAAACTAGCATGCCGTCTCTTCACAGCGATCTGTTCCAAGACCAGGCTTTCTAACCACCTCCTATTCCTCTCCAGATGTCGTCATAATAGTATCACTCCATGTATAAAACACCAATTGAAAACAGATCAACTTTCCCACATACTTTTGTATACTCACCTGCAAGAACACCCCAGGGAAATCATTTAAAACGGATTCCAAAAGCTCAAGGCCAAATGTCCGCGTCATTTCTGTCATGCCCACCAGCCAGTAAGGGGCGTCCGCATTGACCAATTGGCACAGGTCCTGTTTAAAACAAAAGGAACAACATTTTATTTGTATTTACTTCGCAGTACAATGTCAGTAGCGCTGCTGTGTTGCATTATAGAGGCCTACAACTGAATCGGAACGCTGCGGAGCAGATCCTCTTAAGACAGTAGTGTGGTGTGGAGGACCTAAAACATACACGAACCTCTATTCTACCTTCAGGAAGGTGGTTAAACGGCTGAGGCTGCACCGCGACCCTGAAGCTTTCCCTTCCTGGTTTGGTCTGTAACCCTTCAGCCATTCTGCTTTCCCTATGACTGTACTCCTGTTTTAACTGGCTTATCCTGTTTGGCCAGGGACAGGTATTAAAACTGCAATACTTCTTCCCCTGACACAGCAGCAGTCGGTATACATAGATATTACGGAAACTTTGATAAAATTTAATCGCTTTTCCTTGGAATCCATAGACAGTTTACTTCACTATGTATTGATTTCGACTATCGGATTAGACACCGTTCTCTTCTGAGGTAGTCTCTTCTGTAGTGAGAAATCAGCTCTCTGACAGCAGCAGCCAATTTCTCTAATACACTTGTGAGGAATTTGAAGGCTGAAACCTATTCCTCTCTCTCATTCTCAGGAGTATTCCTACACTCTCTTCTAGTGTTGTGCTCACTCTATATCCCTTCATGCCATTGTCATACTCCATTGTCCAGTCATCCTCGACTGGAAACTGTAGGATAGCGTTTCTCAGATGGTGTGTCCGGGCAAAGTGGTGTGACAGAAAAGCCACATATGAGAAAAATAAAAAACGGAATTAAATAACGTTTATATATATATATTAATGGTGCCAGAGAGGTTAGCATTTGTGCCTTGCTGCACTGGCTCTCTGTATTCAATTCTGGTCCTGGGGAGCTATCTGCAAGGAGTTTGTATGTTCTCCCCATTTTTGCCTGAGTTTACTCCTACAGTCAAAAGACATGCTGGCATGTTAATTGGCTTCTGGGAAGACTGGCCCTGGTGTGAGTGTGTGCTTGTCCGTGTGTGCGCCTTGCGATGGAGTGGCATCCCGTCCAGGGTGTATCCTGCCTTGCGCCCTATATCCTAAATTGGATGAAGCAGTTCAAAAATGGATGGACAGATTATATGTATTAGTTCTGGGGAGTAACCAAAGAGGCATAATGCACGTTCGACAGGGGCCACGCTGTAAGATTGTTCACAGGGGAACAGCATGTGGTGCGAGTTCAGTTCTTCAAATCTGAAAAAACAAAGACAGAGAAACGTCTGATTCCTGCCATACTAAGGCAGCTATGCACCCTGAGGCCACTTCAGATCAAGCAATGAAATAGTTTTGTTTATAATAATAATGTGATTGCGTTGGTAACATGTATGTATATGTGAGAGTAGGGGGCTGGTTTACTGCTAAACGTTCAGATTTGCGGATGCGAACTGTGGGGATGGAAAAGATTGAAAAATTTCATTTTACAGTTGCCACCAAACCCACCAGCACGTTTCTGGGTGAGGAGAGGAAAAGGGAGCGTCCAGGGAAAATTCACACGGAAACAAGAACATGCAAACTCCACATATAATGACCATTACTGCAGGTTGAAGCAAAATGAGTGCCGGGCCCGAGAAAACACTGGATCTGGGTGGTCCTTCTCATTTTCCAAGTGGCTACCCATTGGCCAGGCTCTAGTGATACAGGGCGTTAAGTTGCTGTTCCTGTGTGAAAACAAATCTGGATAGCATCTGTGGAAACGGTGGGACTCGGGAATGGACCACAGTACTATCTCCGGAGGAGGAGTTCAAAAGCGGATGTGAAAACAGCTGCTCGATTTAATACAAAGAAACAACTTTTTTAGCAATACAGCATTTATTTACCTGAAACAACATGTACGCGTCCTTAGCACAAGGCCTCAGGGAGCTGAATGACCTCCGGTTGCTGTTTCCTTGAACTGGAGGAGGTTGTTCCATAATACCTACAAGAGGAATTAGCATTTTAGTCATGGTCTCTCACTCAGAGAATTGAACTAGCTGAACACCGTTAGGCGCTATTCGGCCCTTCACACCTGTCTTATGCTTTTTCTGACCTCTGGGTGGAATTTACAGTTGTGAGAAAACGTTTGTGAAGCCTTTGGGATTATCTGGGGCAAAATACCTCCTAACCGCTGCGCAGGTCTGATCAGGAGCTACAGAAAGAGTTTGATTGAAGTTATTGCCAATAACGGAGGTTCCACTTGTTACTAAATCTAAAGGTTCACATACTTTTTCCATCAATGACCTGGATTGTATAAACAATGTGTTCAAAAAGATATGACAATGAAAAATGTTGCGTGTGATGTTTGTTAAATAAGTCTTTATTTATTATTTTGACTTAGATGAAGAGCAGATCACATTTTTGGAGACATTCGTGCAGAAATCTATATAACTCCTAAGGGTTCACAAACGTTTTTTCACAACTGTAAAACCAAGGCACCGATAATTTGCTCATTAAAGTCCACATTGCACTGTACATACTAGAGAAGTGTCAACTATCCTGCTGCAATTCTGGCAATTCTATGATTTGCAAAAAGCATAATGAAACAAAGGATAAGTCCTTACAGGTACATAACCAATGCTAAAAAAATTAAGCCAAATAATCCACTAAGCTTGCAGAACTGATGGGACATATACATTTCAACTAGAGCTGGGCGATAATTAGATAACGATAATTATCGCGATATAATTTTCCTCGATATAATTTTAACAAAAGTTCGATAAATATGTTTATGCTTTGCGCATGCGTGTTCCAGACCGGGCAGCTAACAGATTTGTTTAATGTTTCTGCTGTTTGGCAAGTGTTTGGCAAGTGTTTGTTGTGTTCTTAAAATAAAGAGTTGTTTAATTTACCGACTACCTGTCTGGTTTCTTCAACTTTCACTCAGGAAAAAAAAATCTGCCTTTAAACTTGAAAGAAATAATGATTTGACATTTCTCGTGATAATTATCGATATCGAGTGATATGAAAATTTTTATCGTGATAATGTTTTTGGCCATATCGCCCAGCCCTAATTTCAACATAATTTCAGTCTACAATTGAAATAAGAAAAAAAAAACACAAAATGACAATAAAGCAAGTCCCTGCAGAAAGATCATAAATGGAGATCATAAAAAAAGATCACAGGGAGTTTTCAACTAAATATTTCAAAATCTCTTTCTTAAACCTAAATCTTAAAACATGGCTCTGAATAATGACTGAATAATGTAGTTTTTATTCAGGTACTGGCATACGTGATCTTTCACACCAGATCCTGATGTGCATTCATAAAAAAGGATCCATCCATCTTTTTTTCTAACTTGATTCTTCCAGTTCAGGGTCGCTGGGGAGCCGGAGCCTATCCCGGCACGTATCGGGCGCAAGCAGGATACAGCCCGAGTGGGACACCAGCGCCCATTCCAGACCACACACAGACACAAACACAGGCAGGCACACACTCGCACCAGAGCCCGTTTTCCCAGAAGCCAATTAACCTACCGGCATGTCTTAGGTTTGTGGGAGTAAACTGGAGCAGTTGGAGGAAACCCACATGAACATGGGGAGAACATGCGAACTCCACACAGACAGCACCTCAGGGCTGGAATTGAACCCAGGGCCCCAGTACTGTGAGGCAGCAACACTAACCACTGTGCCACCGTACAAAAGCATATAAAAGTTGTAGTTTCATTGGTATCTCAAAACATAAGCAACTTGGCAAAGGCAATTTATTTGATGTCACGGAGTTCCGCTCCCCCAGTATGAACCCTGACCTTTGCATCGCTCATCCTCGGCCACCATCCTTTCAAAGACCACCGTGACGACCTGCCTGACAGTGGCGGCGGCAGTGTTGTTAGTAATGTTGTCCTTGGTGAAGTGCAGTCGAAAACACAGCACAATCGCCTAGAAAAGAAACGCGTTTTTTTTTTAATTCACACCCGTGGGCGTGACAGAGCTTGTTGACACGAAATAACCCCACTCTTTTTCTTTTGAGAGGGACAATTCCTTTCCCAGAATGTTATTTGCATGCAGGGAGGGGGAACAAAAAAAGAAAAACGCACCCTGTGAGCACATTTCACGGTCAAGGCAAATAAATGAACACGATATCAAGCGGCCCTGTTATATTTCAGAAAACTGAAAGAATACAAGTTGACTGAAAATAATGTTGAACGGTTAGACAAAACTGTTTCACATAAATATTATTTTATTTTGTTTTCTGCCATAAAATTTAATATGGCCTTTTTTCTTGTTCACAGTAAGAATGCAATGAGAAGCTACACAGCAGTGGTGGATGAACCGGGTCCCCTCCTACATGTGTAGTTGTTTGGGGACCTTTGGGATGGGACAACATGCTACAAAAGTTTTTTTTTTTATTATTCCTCCAGCATCACCAGCTGGGCAAGCGCGAGGCCCGCACATAAAACAGCATGTATGTGAACAGTGACTGGCCGCATTACAGAATTCAAATGTGTGTGGGTTTCAGAGGGCTGTAAATAGTGGAGGGAAAGTAACAAAGCCTCAAAACGGCAACCATTTTCAGTCTAGGACTGCAAGTGAAATATAAAAAATATATATATATATCCTTCGAGCGGGCCTGTGCACTATACCTTTGACAGTGCCTCATCGTGGACCACAGTATTGGTGGTTAAGAGCACCAGGACGGTCTGCAGCAGCTTCAGTTCTTCCAGCCCGTTCTCCATCAGCTGCCACAGCATGTTGATAATGTTTCCAGCCGCAGCCTGCAACCACACAGTCACCCACACAGAAAACTCTTCAGTTCCACTGGTGCCTGACAGCATTCGAGAGTCTCAGCAGGCAGCTCCCGAGTCACCGGGGGAAATCGCTAATTCCAATGATAGCAATGCTCCAGGGGAGATTCCTGCTTGTGACTGAGGCCATAAACAACTCTGGGTTTAATGAAGATTATTAGAAGGTGGTTCTTACTGGCTTTTAGGAATACATCCACACACATCTCTTATCTCAGTCTTCCTGGACCGGTATTCACTAAGAGTGAGATTACAACTCTCACCATCATTAATCCGCGTTATGTGACCCTTTTTGGGGGTGGGGGGTTCTTGGAATTAGCTCCTCTCATGCACTGCGTTAGGAAAATACTCCTGAGAATGAGCCAGAGAAACAAACTGGTGGAGCACAATTTTGCTCAGCAGGTTTTTAGAGCAGTCTAAAAGGCTAGATCTCGTCCCCTCCTGCCCATGTTCCAAAGCGATCTTCATAATCAGCTTTCGGATGCCTTGTCCCTACCTGCTCCTGTCAAGAGAGCTACATGACACAGTAAACTAGCAGAGCAAAGCCAAAATACAGATGACAAGATTGGGAAACAAATAAGAAATAGCGCTACAGAAAAATGGGACAATGACATCATTTCGTTGCAAACCGCTGGTCTTAGCGAGAGTTCCAACTAACTGTGACGCAATGCGGCCCTTCCTGCTCACTAGTCCCTGGAATGACTAGTGTAATGCGATGTACGACTGAGTGAGTACAGGTTGTGCAGCAGAAATTTCACCACAGAAATGTCCCAAAGTGATCCTCACACAGTGTTAACAAGTAAGTTGTATATGTTGGCAAAACCATCTCTAAGTCTAGAGCAATATTTCTACTGGATTTTAAGAGACATCTTCACAAGCCTGCTTGTTTACAATGTAATAGGGCCGCAGAACGTTTTGTTCTGAATCGCACTGCAAGACGGCAATATGGTGCTGCGCAGAGCTGGAAATGTTCTTTTGTGATAAAATTCAAGACCAGGGGTGTGAGCACCGGCCGTACATCACCAGCCCCACAGAACTTACCAGGAATAAAACAAAAATGGCATTTCTAATAAAGAAAACACGGTCATGGAAGACTGTCCACATGCGTGCTGGGCTTGAGTGAAAGAAATGTGAATGGAAAACGCCTGGTTTGTTTATAACCTCCACTTCTATTGTCAGACAGAAAAGCGCTGTGTTCCTAAACCCCAGAGTTATATAAAAGTGGGGAGCAGCAGACCGTAGCTAAAGCTCTAATGAAAAGCTTGAAGCAGGGAGTTGCCAATAACATGTTTGCACTGTCAAAGAGCTTCTTTCAAACACCCCAGGCCATTTGTGTTTATGGATAAACAGGCTTTTTGGGAGGTTATTTGTAAAATCTTGCCCATGGTATTCTTTGCTCTCTCCTTGTCTTTTCTGCTGGTGTGCTCAGAACAGCCATTTGCTCTTTCTTAGGGTGCACAGAAGCAAATATCCGGGAGAAAGCATGTCTTGATCTAGCTGCAGAGGTTCACAGCACTTCCAGAAGGTGCTATGAGAGAACTGTATTTTCTTTTTAAACCTAAACGTGTCCATTCAGCAACGTGAACGTGTCATGGAAGTGAACGCTAACAGTACTTAGCCTGATGTGTTACTAACTTACGATACCCCACAGCTCTTCAAGGTGACTTACTTAAATTGATTTACTCAGCACAAATACAGAAAGATCAAATGTTTTACAAATAACCCCTTATATGACAACTTCCTCATGTTAATGTGACAGCAGCCATATCACCCTGCAACTCACAACTGGCAGCCCCACTGTAGATCAGCAGGTGTGAGCCTGGTCAGTACCTGGATGGGAGACCTCCTGCGAAAGCTATGGTTGTTTCCAGAGGAGGTGTTACTGGGACCAGGAGGGGGCGCTCACCCTGTGGTCTGTGTGGGTCCTAATGCCCCAGTATAGCAAAGGGGACCTTATACTGTAAAAAGATGCCATCCTTTGGATAAGACGCAAAACCGAGGTCCTGGCTCTGAGTGGACAAGAAAAATCCCAGGGTGTTTCCTGAAAAGAACAGGGGTGTTACCCCGGCATCCTGGCCAAATTTCCCATTGGTCTTAACCAACCATGGACTCCTAGTAATCCCCATTTCTGAAATGGTTCTCCTCCCCACTGATAGCTTATGTGTGGTGAGAGTACTGGCGCACTATGGCTGCTGTCGCATCATCCAGGTGGGGCTGCACATTGGTGGTGGGAGTGGGATTCCCCATGACCTGTAAAGCAATTTGAGTGGAGTGTCCTGAAAAGCACTAGGCAAGTGTAAGGAATTATTATTATTAAATAAGTAATACAACAATTCTTCAGTGTGTGTTACCACTCATATTTGGAAGAATAGTTCTTCGGTTTACCTCAGACACCACTTCGTGAGACATGAGCCGCTGAATGGCTGCCAGGCATAACTGAGTGATCTTCGGTTCCTTGGTCCCACAGCCCATGAGGAACGGCTGAACGACTTCTGAGCTGTTGTCTTTCAGAGCTGGGAAGAAGATGAAGAGACACTTAACCACGCTGGAAAGAAAGAAGCACAACGAAGCTCCCCATTCCAGTGTTAAACAGTGTCTGGTGGCTGGGAAGACAGGTAGGGTTATATGGCCCAGGCAATGCTAGATCAAGCCTGGGTCAGGACTTCACACAGCTGTGACTGGGTACTCCAAGCAGAGGTGCACGACTGGCTACACACTGACAGGGCAGGACTGAGGAATAATGTGGTGGGGTAGGATGGAGGATTAGCGTGGCAGGGCAGGATTAAGCATGTTTGTGTCTGTGTTTTCCCTGTGATGGACTGGCGTTCTATCCAGCGTGTACCCTGCCAGGATAGGCTTCAGCTCCCTTTGTGGCCCTGACTTGGATAAGGTGGTTAGAAAATGAATGGCAGGATGGATTTAAAACATAAAATATAAAACCCCTACAAAGGTGAGCCTAGAACTGCATGCCCAGTGAGAAAGGAAACATGACAATCAATTATGGCACAAAGATTAATGAAAAAGCTTTGTAGCAGGAACTGTAGTACAGATGCTCAGAGAAAATGCCGAAAAATGTTCTTCATAATTAACCAGTGTGTAACACGTTCGTCAAAGCTGTTGAAAGGAGAGAGAGTGCGCAGATGAGTGTTGCTAATGATGTCAGGATGCTGCACACAAAGATATTAAAATACCTCTGCGTCAGTGCCCTCTGTCACAGTAATTACAGCTGCCTGGGTCTTAACGCACTGCATGAATTACTGAGAGGAATCACGATTCTCAAAGCTCAGTTAGAGAAAACGCTGTGTGCTACCTGTCATGGTTGTGTAAGAGAGGGAAGCAGGTGGCAGGGCCGTGAAAAATGAAATGTCATACAGCCAAGCAGGGTTAATGACTTTGATATTGAAACACTACTCCTGTCGTAGGTTCTGCTGCAACAGCCACACTAGCCTGATACAAGATCACACTGGCAGACCAAAAAAGGCCACCAGAATATTAGCCGCTGGTAACAAACTCCAAACCGTCTGTCATTACGTGGATTGTTATTTTCTGCGGTGGTAGCACTCTCACTTCTGTGGAAAACGAGATGATATACTCGCCAGAACATTACCCCCCCCCACAACAAATATCAAATTGTTAGGGGCTAACTTATTTCATGGCTTTTCAGTTGTGCTAGCACGGCTGGAAATGGAGACAGGCTGCCTATCCTCACCCACTGGAGGCAAAAGACCCCAGTATATTTTCAGCAAAACTGCAGTTGAAGGGGGTTATACAGAGCTTCAAGTAAGCCTCTGACTCAGAACTGATAGATTTTAGGTTTAAGTCTCCACTGCAGACACTGCTGTTGTACCTTGACTGAGGTACCCAACTGTATAAATGTTGAATCTTTTCCAAATAAAGTAAAAGAGAAAAATAAATAGCAACCAAAAACACAGAGGCCTCAAAATAAAAAACCGCACAAGAATGATAGGTTTTTGGCACAGAAAATGGTACAAACCATTCAAGCTCCATCTTATTACAGTATACTGCTTTCAGAAGCCTGACATTTCACCGAATTGCTAACACAATTAGCATTTTTTTCAACTCATTGTGTCATTTAATGTAATTAATTACTGCAATATCCATTTCTGTGGGAAGATGATCAGAATCGATAGAAAGAAAAGAATCCCGCACAGAAACATGTAGTGGTCACCTTTAAGGTCAAGACCCTCTAAGCCTCTGTGTATTTCACCCTGAATTTCAAAATAACCGAGAAAAAAAACATTGCTTTAATACCGATGAGAAACGGCATTTCTGGTTGACTTAAACTACCGGCGACATAAATAAGCGTTTGTTTTTTGGTTTCTGAGAGAGGACTTGTGCTCTATTGAAGAGACTGAGCTCACAAGGATTTAAGTGTCTCCTCTTAGCGTGTGTCGGGCCTTGTTTCAGAAACAGAGTGAATCACACCAGCTTGCGCAGAAATGCCACAGCTCTCACGCCTACCTGCCAGGATGTCCGTGTTCCTGGAGGCTATCGTCTTGATTTTCACTATGCCCGATTCTGCAGCCTGAAAAAAAAAAGAGATGTGTATTACCGTAATTTTAATATTAAAAAAATCTAATAATATCTAGGCCTATCTTTCATGTTGACCAAGTTCCTTACAAAGGCTTTGAGCAATGTTTAGACACCGACGGATTTAAAAAAGAATGAACTGCATTCATATGAGTGCTTTTCATCCGCCAGAAGTACAGCATCTTTTCAAAGAATTCACGTTTGTGAAATGGCCAAAGGATGCACGCATATTTGTTAAACTCAATATTTTATTCAAAACCTGCATACGCAAAACTGAAGACCCTTAGGGGAAGATGCATCGAAATAAACATCAGCAAACACTAAAGAGAAAAAACCTGAAATATGTTGATTGCCTAAGTATTCAGACCTGTGAATTCAGTATGTGGTAGAAGCCCCTTTGAATATTATATTAATATAGTAGTATATTTGGCAGGAATTAAAGTCACAAGTTTGTGTACAGTACATCTCTACCAACTTCATACACTACCCTGGTGGTATTTGCGCCCATTTGTCTTGGCAGTTTTGCTCAAGGTCTCTCGAGTTGCTTGGGGATCACTTACAAACAGCAGTTTTCAAAACAAAGAGCCATAATTGGTTGATAAGGTTATTGGAGAGACCTGGGCAAATGTGTGCACATGGGTCAAGGGTGCTATTCATGCTTCTGTAACTACTTTCAGCAAATTAAGAGCACCAGCTATAAAGCATCCAAAAGTTTTAAATCCCCTACCTGTAAACACACAGACAATTCCCTTGTTCTTGCATGGTGTGGTAAAATTATAGCAAATAATTAAACAGCTTAACATAACAGTTAGGATCAAATACTTCTATAGATGCGGAGCTGTGGCTCTGTGGCTAAGGATCTGCGCCTGTGGCTGGAAGGTTGCAGGTTCAAATCCTGCGGCTGGTAGAGGAATCCTACTCTGTTAGGCCCCTGAGCAAGGCCCTTAACCCCAACGGCTCCAGGGGCGCTGTACAATGGCTGACCCTGTGCTCTGACCCCGTTTCTCTCTCCCCGTCTGTGTGCCTGTGTGTCTCATGGAGTGCAAGCATGGGTCTGCGAAAAGACAAATTCCTAATGCAAGAAATTGTATATGGCCAATAAATTGATCCTATCTTAAATTCAGAACACCTTGGAGTTAACTGAAATCTATTTTTAATAAACAAAACTAGAACGAAAATGAAATACTATACTTTATAATTGACCGAGCACTGGGAATCTGTCACACCTATAAGAAAAAAACCAAACATAAATCGGAAACGTATCTTGTGAACCAAAAAGCATTACACATTTGAAAATCGTGCACTACCCTTTATCAGAATAATGTTGTATTAAGAAAGAGAAGTCTCTCACAGCCCTTAATACTTTTGACTGCTGTCAAAATCCATTTTAATACTAACAAACCCAGCTTTCATCAACGTCAGCACAACTTCTCGTCCCGAGTTTTGAAAAATGAGCCTTTGTTGCACAAGTAAACGCTGCACTCTGCTTCAACTTTCCTACGGTTTCTGCTCATCTGCATAATCTTGTCCTGTTCACAGAACTATTTTCCCTCCCTGATCGCCTAGTTCAAGGAGTTCAAATGACAGACGACCGCACAACCCTCTCAGTATGACAGCTCAAATTTAAGTTCTGTTACATCAGTGCACTGGCTCGGTCTCCTGTAAACGCTTCAGAATAAAAAAAAAAGGATTGCTTTAAGGAAGGTCTGTTAAGCAAAATACACACAAAAGCCAAGTTTTTTGCATTTATTAGGATCTGCATGACTTCTATTCTTTTTTGGGTGTGTTTAGCAGCACTTGTTGCAGATGCAGTGCAGTTGCAATTCTTAAATTTTACACATTAATATACACCCACAATCAGAAACAGGGGATTGACACAGCAGTAAAGGGTGTTTAATACAGTGATAACCAATACGATACCCTACCACCCCTTCTAAAAGTGTCTCTCCTGACAATCTAAGAATAGTCAAACGAATGTTACTCTACACACCACATCCATAACATCTCACCTGGACCTCGTCTCTCACTCCACTGGATCTGTTCAGCCAGCCCGACACCCATCCTTTCTGGGATTTTATTTTTTACCACCAACGCACCTGAGGCAACAAACGTTTGTACAACCGCTCCATTTCTCTAGGGGCTTCGTATTTCGTTTTTGCTTCGCAGGACGGAGCATGCCCCGTCTTTCGCCAAAAAAACACAAAACAAACGGAATGTGCCGACTTGCTGAAACGGTCATATGCGGTGCGATATCGTATCGCCAAATACAGAAATAACAAAATATTTTCCCCAGTGGTGGGTGCGAGAAATAACCAGGGCACGGGAGAAAGGAGGTGAAGTGTGGGAGATAAAGATGGAGACAAAAACAGAGAAAAAGGGTGAAAGAGGGAGACCGAATGAAATACCCCATATCACCATATCATACTGAACAGCTGTATTTGCTGTCCATTCGAGCGCCGACAGTATAAATGAATGCAGTCTCACACGCTCACTCCACAGGTAGGCCGCATTCCATACAGTGAAATGACCCACTTAACTCCAGTCCTAAACTCACAGGATTATTCACTTCTGCCCTCAATGCCAGATTTCCAAAACGGCAAAAATGAGACATTTGCTACCAACGGGACCGAAAAAAAAAAAAAACTACTTCACAGCCATCGACTGTGACAAATAAGGAAGGTGAAGTACAAAAAGGCAATCAAAAGCCTTTTCTGTAACTTGATTCACAAACTGCACCAATGAAGAGGAAAGAAAAAATGTGGAACACGCCTAAGGCAGCGAAATGTATATTTAATATCGTCCAGCAAGAAAACACAGCATGGCCGCCCAACCTACAATTACAGTCCTTCCACAAATACAATCGATTATTATTTTTGAATAATAAATAATAATTATAAATAAATGTGGGGCTGCACATTGCTTAGGCCAAAAATAGATTTTACACCACAAAGACGTACATGACTGAATGTAATGTATTGATACCACTGGGACACACACAACTGAGTGCCAAGCAGCCATGAAATAAAAAACTTGTATATATATATATCAGCCTTTTCCAAATGAAAGTTTTACTGACAGTCCTCGGGCAGGATTTGTTCATTATCTGCTAAGGTAACATTTATAACTTACTCCGCTATAAAAGTTTAGCCTTTAAAATGGTTCTGGAGATTAAAAATAGATACTGTAAGGAAAGTTCTCTAATATTCTGATCACAGTCGCAGCAATTTTCTTTTACAGCTGGATGTCTGCCCATAGCAGAAACACTAGTTTACTATCGGCTTCTTTGGTATGTGCTCAACAGACACAGTCACTGGCTGACCATACAATGATCAAATTGAAACTTCACACAGAGGCCTTTGAAAACTTGAACAGCTGACATGTATAGGCATAATTTAAATACATCAGAAACTGAGAAACAGTTGGGAGGGCTTCTCGTAATTCTTGATTTATTTAAAATAAAATTGGGTAGTACCTGATCAGGGTTTGTGAAGCCTCTGGCGGCTGTAAGACTTCACACCTTGCCCATAATTAAGCACACAGCAGTGCACATCTGAGGCTTGCGAGACACCTGTGAGTTTGTAGCGATTAACAAGGAAAGCCACTCTGTTTCTTCAGCTCCTACCAGCTCTCCTGAAGATAACAGCCCGTCAGAAGGAAACTGAACACGACAGCGAGCCTGTCAGGGCAGTATGTGCGTGTTCCTCCATTCCTCTGTGCAAATTCAGGGGGTTATAAGGGAGAGCCCCATTAATGAACTGCTGTCTCTGCCAAATCAGAGCGGCTTAAAATTGATTAACAGGGGTCCCGATGCCAACAGTTGTGAAGGAAGAAGAAAAGAAAAAACATGACCTTGAGCCTTTTGAACAGTGACCACAGCAACAGGAAGATACAGAACTCAAGAGGAAACCGAACAGAGATCCCTTGTTACTCGTCGCCTTTGTGTGGGTAAACACCACAGGCCGAGAGAGCACACCGGACCTCTCTTCCAGAAAGAGGAGAGGAGTAGCAGCTTTGCCAATAGCCGATTTGACTGGCTCAGGAGGAAAAACGCACACTCTCGTCCCCGAGCTCCTCCTTCATGCTCTGCCCAGCGGAATTCTGGGAGCTCATTTTGCCTTGATCCAAGTCCCCCCCAAGTGAAAATTCGCAGCACGTTAAATACAGTGTACAAAGCGAGAGTAACAAGAAAGAAAATCTCGGGGTGCAAGGAGCTCGCAGTAAATAAAAATAATAATAATAAATCAGATGTATTATAACAGGGCATGTGGAGAATGCATGCTCTCCTCATGTCTGCATGTCTTTCCTCCGGGTGCTGAGACATACCAGTAGGTTAACTGGTTTCAGGGAAAACTGACCCTGCTACGCGTCTGCGTGCCCTCTGATGGATGTACCCTGCCTTGTGCCCACTGCTTGCCAGGACAGACTCCGGCTCCCCCATTGCATTAACTGGGTAGGAAATGGATGGACGGAATGTAACATTACATTTAATGTACTAGGTCAAAATCTAAAAATGACTATTCTAATGACTAGGAATACAGTTGGCACACACTGTAAGGCATATTTATAGTAGGAGCTCCAGGCTTCTGTAAGAACTAGAGGGAGAAAGGGGAAAGGAGAGGCTCAAACAGAAATGAAGTTCCAGTTCCTGGCAGATCCACAGGGAGCTGGAGGGGAGAGAAAGGGCGCGAGGAAGAGAATTTAAAACGCTGCCATTAAAAGAGACAGAGATGGGAAATGGACCAGAGGAGAATAAAAGAAGCACAGCGCTGTTAAGTTCCATCTGACTAAGAGAAAAGAAGGAGAGACGTTTCGTCCTATACTTGTGCGTGTTCATCTCCCTTTTATCTGCGGCCAGCGGGCATATGTTTAATTTTATAAGGTGGTTTTACAACCTTGGAATTGATTTTGCAATTAAACTACTCATGTTCACAGGAATTGAACATAAACTAAATGACACAGTGAGAACAGCAATATCGGCGTACAAGGCACCAGTGC